GTTTGATTTGCAATTTAAACATTTCATCCAAAATGTAGATCTAACAGCGTTATTGTGCGAAATATAAATATATTTGCATAAGGAAAAACAAAGAGCAATGAGAACAAAACTGCTTATAAAATCTTTTCTACAAAACTAAAAAGGATAATCCAACTGACAAATAGTCTCAAAATAATTATTATATTTCCAAAGCTACAAACAAATGCAAAGCTACGTGGAAAATAATAAATAATTGTAAGCCAAAAATACCACATATCACTAAATCAGCTCTAAAAATTGATAAAATGAGAAATTAGTAACAAATTCTAAAATAATAGCTCGAAAATTTAATAATTATTTTATAGAAGAAGTTCAACCAAATTGCAGTGTAAAAAGTAAAAAAACACGTAATTATTCTACTTGTAAGTCATTTTTTATGAAACCTACAGTCCCTCATGACGTATTTAATATTATACGCCATTTAAAAAACACAAACAGTACAGGATACGATGACATATGCACAAAAATACTAAAACATGTAGCAGATATAATTTCTCCTATCCTCAGTGACAGTTGACGTTAACTGAAGAGGGATCATTTCCAGAAAAATTTAAAATATCTATTATGAAACCTATGTATAAAAAGGCAATAAACGTCTTATGGAATCATATACACCTGTAGCTCTATTGCCAGTTTTTTGTAAAGTATTCGAGAAAACTATTTATGATAATTTGTATAATTATTTAGAGAACAAAAAAATTTTTTGTAAAGAACAAAGAGGTTTTAGAAAAAACAGCTCAATTAATTTAGCTATATACGATTTCTTAGAGAAAATACATAACAGGATGGATAGAGGATTACCAGCTCTTGCTATATATTTAGATATGACAAAAGCTTTTGACTATGTGGACCATGACATTTTACTTGACAAACTATACTCATATGGTATAAAGGGCAATATGCATAACATGACACAATCATATTTAAAAGGTAGAACTCAAGTAACCAAAATTAATAAAATCAACATTATGACAAGAATAGAAATGGAATGTAAGTCTGATTCTAAAGTAAAAATATATGGAGTACCACAGGGCAGCATTTTGGGACCCTTACTCTTCTTAATATATATTAACGACATGCCTAACGCATCCCATCATCCAATGACGCTTTATGCGGACGATTGTACGGTCACATATATTAAAGAAAATGAAATAAATAACAGCCTAAATTCATTAATAGAATGGCTTGAAGAAAATAATTTAAAAATCAATCTCCAAAAAGCCAAGCTCATGAATTTTAAGTTGAGAAAAGCAGCTAGTCAAATAAATATAGAATATAAAGGGACACACATAGGACAAACAGATATAACAAAATTCCTAGGTATACACATTGATGATAAAATAAGCTGGAAGGCACAATTGGAAAATGTTTGCAGTAAACTCAATACTTGTGCATATACACTATACATGCTTAGCAAAGCTGTCGATAGAAGCTCGGACCTTCAAACATATCATGGATATGTTGCTTCAATATTAAGATATGGTATAAATATTCTGGGGAAATGCAGCCAATGTAAATTCAGTTTTCAAGGCACAAAAAAAATGTGTCAGAGCAATGTGTCGTTTGAAAAGAACCGATAGTTGTAAAAGATTTTTTTTTATTATTATTATCAGATATTTTAAGGATCTTCGAATACTGACTGTACCTTCACTTTACATATAGGAAACTGCCATATACATCCGAATGCACCCACACTTGTTCACGCAAACACTAAAGCAAACTTGAAAGCTTGTAAAACTACTTTCATGCACAAAAGTATCTTTGTATCGGCGCCAAAATTTACAATAATTTACCGAAAGTATTGAGGTCTGAAAAAACCTTATTATTATTATTATTTATTTATTTTATTTATTATTTAAAAAGCAATTAAACAACTTATTGACTAATAAAATTTACTATACAATACAGTGTCCGAATTTTTAAATGACAAATCTCTAACTTCATTGACAGATTTTTGATATTTTTTTATGACGTGAATAGTTTTATTATGTTGACATTTAAGTATATTAAAAATATTTTAATTGAAATTGACTCATATAACTATCATTGCGTCTAAATTGCTGACCTACTTATTAAATCCATGTGTGCACGCTCATTTGATATTAGAAAAAATAACATGTTATATCTGGTATAGTCTGTTAAAATGCATGCGAATAAATTTATAATTAATAACACTTTCAATAAGTTTGTATGCCTAATGTTTGGCCGGACACAGTGAAACTACTTATTTTGTACATGTCAACTTCCAAATAACCTATGTTTTCACAAATAAATGAATTATTAATTTTATTATTATTATGACCAAAAACAGGGAAAAGTGAGATAACAAACTTAAAACTAATGCGAATAAAAACTAGACAGATATTAATTGGAAAATATTAATGAGAAGACAAGTCGAAGTAATTGAGGAGATGGGTGCGAATTCTACAAAGATTGTTATGAAAACATCACTAACTGCCTCCGTGATCGAACGGTTATCATGCTGGTCTGCCACACAGAGGTACTGAGTTCGATTCCCGGGCCGGGAGAAATGTTTGTATGGTCTATACTTACTACCTATCTATACTTACTTACTAACTTTTTATTTACAAATTTAACGTTATTATATGCCGTATTTGGGGAAAGGTCTGATCCAAGATTTAAGCCAAGTCGATACAGACTAAAGACTATTTAAGTATGGTAGTATCAGGACTTTACGAACTTTGCAACAAGTATAAGAATGTTAAATTAACATCAATTAAGTGATTTATTACGTCTAAGCTGCTGATGCCAGAACACTGCTCTAAAATTAAAAACGTTGCGCAACTGTAGTAAAAAAATCAACAATAATACAAAAAAACAAAAAATGGAAAATAAACCTTCAAAGTTTGTAAAAGTTTAATAGATGATTAGTAAAATGTAGATTTGTATAATAATCTGTAATAAGTTTATGCGACGTCGATGTATGTTAAAATAAAAAAGGCAACACTGACAAAAATTTGACAGATGATTAGTAGAAACATTGGTTTAAATGTCAACACTGACAAAAGTTGGACAGATAATTAGTAAAAACATTGGTTTATTGGCAACTCTTCACTGGAAATACAGAATAACAATGCTACCCCTAATAAGTCCGTATAATGAACGCCGGGGATCCATGACGAGCCTACCTAACATACGAGGCATTAGTATAAAAATTGGTACACAATATGTTGTGAGCAAGTAGATGCAGTGCTCGTGACCTTTCTGAATTTTCACGCCCTTTGATGGCTATCCATTATAGGAGCGAGCGAGACTATTATTTGTTATTAAAAATTTTATAAAAAGAATGTTTCTTAATCTAAACTCGGCGGCATAACAAAAACCTACGTAGGTTTATCCGTGCACCGCAAGAAGTACTTCTTCATCTTTTCGGAAAGGCCGTGGGGCCTTTAAAATTTTGCGAGGGTACTAAGGCGTACTACAAAAAGGGTAAGAAACCCTGTCATAACATGCTGGGCATAATTTCTTCCTTTTTTTGTTTGTTTTTTTAATGTTACAATATTTAATTTATTCATTGCCATGATATTCATATTTTTTTCTGAAAATGCTTCACTACTTTATGGTTATTATTGGTACAAAGGTCGAACTAGCAAAAGAAAATTCTTTCGATCCGGCTTGACTCCAATCAGCAACATACCGGGGCGATCGCTCTCCCAACAGAACTGGGGAACGAGTCAGCAATCTTCACGAATTAGGTACTTTATGTGCTTGTTGCAAATTTTTTAAATGATCAAATGACGGGACGAACATGTCTTGCGTCTGATGGTAAGCTACGTGCCTGTCCATAACAGTTGTAATGTCACTTTAAATTGTAAAAATATGAGGGGCACTGCCACTGTGCCTGTCACACTGAGACATAAGTTGACAAGCCCAATGTTAATGTAATTTCGCCAACACCCATACCGTTCAAAACCGAAACGCAGTAATGCTCACATTACTGTTTGGCGGTATAAATAGTAAAGGTAAGGCAGGACCTCTACTGCTGCTAAATGCTTTTTTCCCCAATCTGCATTGAGCCAACGTGGCGAACTATGGCTTAAACCCTCGCCTGAGAAGATGCCCAGCAGTGGGACGTGTGAGTAAATAGGTTGATGATGACGACTTAAAATTTAAGGAATGTTCTTGTATTTAGAAAAACAAACGACCGGTCAATGACTCTACGTACATTTCTATCTATTAACAGCATTAGTTGTTTTGTATGCAAATTGATTTCATTTAGTAATAAATGAAACAAGGAAGATATGTCCAACAATTCAATTTTATCGTAAAGCGATAATACTGATGTGTTTATTTATAAATGAGAATTAGATGCTCACTCATTGAACCAGAACTATGTTTCGTGAGTTTAAATAATAATATACACGTCTAAAGTATAATGTGCACAATCTACGAGCATCCTATTGCTTAATTACACGTTGTGAGCCACGGAGTTAAGGTTTGCAGAACAATTAAATTTTAATACACAGCTAAAATCTACTCATTAAAACAACGCCAAAGAATTTGATCCTTTCGTACGAAATTTTATCTCCTTTACAAAAGTAAATACACCATTATTTCGAGTAATAAATTTTATTAGAAACGTGCATGTGTCGTCTGTAATAACAAATCGTGCAGTCGATATCCTAACATAGCTGACCTATTTGGTTCTGAGTAGATCAGTGTGAAGAAAGGTGTAAGACAAACTTTACCATTAATCAATAAGCCATATAATTCATTTTGGTGTAACTTCCTTATTGTATCATAGATGAATGACGTTTTAAGAAACTTTTTAAGCCAAATGGATCTTTAATTAAATTTAATTTCAACCTAAAAGCTGGCATTCCTTTACGCTTTTCTGTTGAATTCATAAGAAGGCTCTCAGAACCAAAAGGTCGGCTGCGGGGTTGGATATTTGAGAACATCGGCTGTATATAGAAAATTAGTTTTCAAATTTAACTTACGCCACAGTCGTCTTGCACAGATTATTCCTTAAATTGTTGCCTGTTTCATTTTTATCAGCGTCGTTTTCACGACAAACTCCAGTGTTAAGGCATTCACCATGCTTGCATTTATCACAATTCGCCTTGCAAGTACCATTAAAATTAGAAAAACCTTCTTTACATTTACAAACATAAGGTTCAACACACTCTCCATCACAATTATCACACTTAGGCGCACAAGCACTATCGTTTAAATGCGTATATCCTTCATAACATGAACACTTATTAGGAGCAACACAAGTGGCATTAACGCAATTGCAGATCGGGTCACACGTAATGTTATCTTTCTGTACGTAACCATCCAGACAAGTACACGTATCAGGTGCCGTACATTTGCCATTAGAACAAGGGTTATTACAGATTGGTATGCAATCAAAGTCGTCGTTCAAAAAGTAGCCTGAGTCACATTTATGACAATGCGTTGTGTTGTATTTTGTAAAACCTCGATGGCAAATACAAGTGTTGTTGATGCAATCAGAATTAATGCATGGATAGTCGCATTTAGATTTGATACAGGTGTTCTTATGTGATGGATCCAGTACTGAAGACGGATCACAGTGGCAGACTTCGGGGGCGACGCACTGGCCCCCGATGCATCCAGTTCTGCATATTGGTGAACATATATCTTTGTCTACGAAGTATTCCCATCCGTTGCAACAAACTGGTTTTTCCGCAGTTTCCTTGTATCTCTGAAAAGATTACTACAATAAATTATATGAAATTACAACTCAAATACTCATTGTATTTTCCAATATCAACTTTTTTTGTATGACATCAAGTGACGGGACAACAAATCGTAAGCCTGGTGGACAGACGTGTCCATAACAGTTGCAGTGCCACTCAGAGCTTTAAATCGCAGAGATCTGTGGATACTACATATGCGCTCATCACCCTTACACATAAGTTGACAAGACCCATGTGCCTGTAATTTCACCAGCACCCTTAAAAACCGGAACGCAGTAATGCTCACATTACTGCATGGTGGCAGAAATAGATAAGGTTATGGCTATGTTATCTCATTTTAAATTACAGTATTTACCCACCTCAGTTCTTTTAACAACACATTTCTTTTTGCCGCACCACTTATTCAAAGTCACATATTTTATTCTTGTCTTTGGAACACTGAAAATAAAAAAAATCACGTGAAACCAAAATAAAAAATTAATATTATCAAGACTAGATTTAAAACTACCTAAATGGCCAAAACAAAATTTAAAATTACCTAATTTTCGCAATGCAAACACCATCATCTCCCAATTTAAAAGCTTCCACGTTTAAAATAGGTAATACTAAAAAACAAAACACTCTTGAAGTCGACCACATTTTACTAAAATTTTAATTTCAAATTTAGAACGTTAATGTTTCAAACTCCACAGATAAGGAAAATACTTTTAAATTAATTGATCAAAGACTTCTAACACTACCATTTCATTTGGTGGGCCACTAACAGTATGAGGATGACACCGTTCACATATTAAATCGTAATTATCATACATTACGAGAGAGATACCACTGGTCAATGTAACCCTTATAATGTGGGCTGTAAAGCTCGATTGGTCTTATGTAGCTATAGAGTGGGAAGGCAGTTACAAGTACTGATTTTCACTCAGTTTTCCTTGCATTACGAATTCGAATATAAATTTTTGATTGTTAGAAATATTTAAATGCAGCATTAAATCTGAAAAGATATTGTTATTACAACTTACTCATACGCCTTAACTTACTAAGCCAATAGAATCCAAGTCTAATTTCGCATATTATTGCCATTATTTTATCTGTTCAAACATTTTTTTATTTGCTATTCTTATTTTCATTGTACATTGACATAAGCTAGGACCAAAAAAGGTAATCTTATAGGCATTTCCACTTGTAGGAAACTAAACTCAAAATGCTGATAGATACAATACTAATTCCAATGTTTCTTCTTTTCAAGGTTACCGTATCGAGTCTTTTTAGCGGTGTATTGAAAATTCTACCTAGTTTATATGCAAAATGTGTTTAATTTTACATGTACTGTATCCCCTGATCATAAGTAGCGTGTAAGTGAATTTATTATTAACATTATCTCACAAAATTAACAAATATACAGGTAATGATAAAGCTTTGTATGCTGGAGACACTAGCCGAAACTTGGTCAATCCTGTATTATGGTACAACTACATGTAATCTTATGCTATAAAGTAGGACGTGCCAATCACATGCTTGGCCCTCGTAATAAACTTAACATAAATTAAATGCAACCAAATACAACAGTACAATAATAACTTGAACATTAGTAAGTAATCAGAAAATATAGAGTTCACAGAAAGTGTCGGAGATCAATGACACACATCATATGTGCGGATGTTGTGTATAAGTACCATCAGAAAAACTGCTAGTATATTAAACATTCAATTAATATTACATATTATAAAACTCTATTATTTTTTTATATCAACATTTTCATTTTAGTGGCTTAGAGTGCTATTTTAATCTTAAGTGTAAAGGATGGTGTATCTATATGCAAACCAACGCCGATTTCTCGCACATTGTTTCGTCGTCGTCATTTATGTGATACCTGGTTATCAATATTTTGAAATGAATTTATTTTGGTACTCCTACGTAATAACAAAATTGAGTAGCAATAGCTGATTGACAAAGCAAAAACGTCAGTAATAAAAATTACGAAGATTTCGTAGATTCTGTTTTTGAAAACTCGATAAAAATAATAAATTGCCGAAACCTGTCATGTGTCGCTACTTATCTTCCGTTATAAAAACTAATTCTAAATATGCATCATCAACATATACTGCCACCTTACCAATTTCTGCCATTCTGTCAGCATTACTGTGTTCTGGTTTTGAAGGGTAAGGGTCTGGTTTTGAAATTACAGGCACATGGGACTTATCAACGTATGTCTCAGGGTGACGGGCGCAGTGGCAGTGCCTCTCAGATCTTTGAGATTTAAAGCTCTGAGTGGCACTTCAACTATTATGGACAGGCGTGTAGCTTACCATCAGGCGCACGACTTGTTCATCCCGTCACTAGATATTATAAAAAAATCTTTGAAAATAGTATACTGTATCAAATAGGGCTGTATGTAGCTTATTGTTAAAAAGTCGACGGATAGACGAATAACACATGGGTGCAACTTTTCATCTTACAATTATATGGCACCACCGTACCACAAGCTGTTAGTACTAGGCGGCGTACTGGCATAGTAACAATGTAAGGTACTATATGCGAATTCATAAGCTCATAAAAGATAAAACCGCGACGGCCTGAACAGAACTATTTTCGATGCAGTTTACCGTTATAGAAAGTACCAGTTTTCGAGCAATTGAATTTGAGGCCAAAATTGATCACAATATATTGAAGAACATAATTATTTTTCCCATTTATTGCCTCGGAATCCCGGAAACGTATTTAGTAACAGTAGAAGTAGTGCTCTGCGAGGAGACTCCTTTCTTGCATTTTCTCCGTAGACGAGATACAGATCTCTAGTAGTGGGATCTGATAAGAGACATTTTTTTCATCGACCTGACGAAATTTGAACCCACGTCCATGCTGCACCGTAGCATTGATCTAACCATCTGAGTCACGTGTCCAGTTGTTTTTTGTTTTAACAATAATTTTTTTATAACAATAATTTAATTAACGTACAAAACAAAAACTTTTTTCTGTGTTCGAACTTAATCATAACAAAACTAGTGGAGTTATTTCACAAAAAAAATCAGTAAATAATATTTGTAAGTAAAATATTTCTTAATAATATACAATTCCTTTTGCTGCTGTCCCTACATCGCTTTGATAAAGGACTTCTGTGTACTAAGCTTTCATACAAATGTTTTTTTAGTCTCTGATATGACAAAGGAGGAATGACCGTTTTATTTTTATATCGCGTTTCGAAAGCTTGATAGCTTTTAAAAATCATTGTAGCAAGTTATAACGTCCTTCCCACCGAATAATATGGTAATATGCTGCTGCGGTAGTTTTCAATTTCTTGCATATCCGGTGTTTAGAGCATTAATTAGACTATGTAATTTTTTTTGTAATATTTCTATAGATATTTATAAAAGTACATTAATTTCATTGGCGCCGTAATGAACATAATAATATTATTCCCTTAATATTTAAACAGTCTTTTTACACGAATAATACCATAACAAGTTAATACAGGTTAAATAAATGATGGTTATTCGCGTAAGAAATACATAGTGTGTTTCATGTAAAGCTAAAACAATTATATTCGTGTGTTCTTTTTATTTTTATATAGAATGTATTTGCATAATTACTTCACTGTTCATTTTTTGATACCATACATCAACGAATAGTACTGTAATGTACTATTACTGTATATACTATCGCTAGGATTTCATCCGAATAAAATCTTAATATCATATTACCGTTAACTTTTTTGACACCAAATTTCAACGAATAATGCGGTCGTTGGGTTTACACGCGATTAATATGGTAATGATGCGTTGCATACTATACTTTTGACTTGCACTTTCAGTAATATTATTTTCATCAATAACTTTATTTAGTAAAACTAATACAAAAATATCATAAAAGAAAGTAAACTGTGAAAAAAATAGCTTTGTTTTGACATAGAAATAACTATCCTACGATGCACCCAAGCTGAGATATACACAAAAAATTGTTTTCTGTTTTTCCTGTAAAGTTTAGAATTATCAGTTACCATATTATTCGCTGGGGAGTGCGGAGAAGTACATCGAATTTTTCAAAAGGACAATAAAATTGAAGAAGAATTGCTAACATTCAAACAAACTTTAAGGGTGCCAAAATTGTATAGCATAACATTAATTGTTTTTTTTTATATAATATCAAGTGACGGTACGAACACGTCGTACGCCTGATGGTAAGGCTACACGCCTGTCCTTTACAGTTGCAGTGCTATTCAGAGCTTTAAATTGCAAAGATCTGAGGGGCACTGCCACGGCGCTCTAAAACACAAGTTGACAAGTCTCATGTGCCTGTAATTTCACCAGCACCCTCACCCTTCAAAACCCAAACGCAGTAATGTTGACATTACTGCTTGGCGGCAGAAATAGGTCAGGTGGCAGTACTTCGCTGGACGAACTCTTTCACAAGGAGCTCTACTATAGCAAAACATAAATAAATATGTATATTTTAAAAGTCTATGTTTTTCAATGTATACTAGTCATAGCTCAGTGACCGATAGCATCCGTTAGTTGAAGATGGCACTTGCGCATTCCGCAACTTACAGATTACACAGATCCGTCTCCATCAAGACATTCCGACGATATCTAAAGCATCGCCTTGGACATGTACAGTCAACAGCAGATCAAGTTTTGTTCAAATATAGCATTCATAGCGATGGAATAAGACCTGTCAATTTATAACTTGACATACTACCGTCCGTTCAAAATGCAATAAATGCAACCTTATACAGGAGAAAGATGACCGGCACCGGATTAAAAAAAAACATCCTGAAAAAATTCCTGAGACCAGTACAAAGAATAATTAGTAGTCAGAGAGTGAAGAGATGGAGATTAAAAATCTACCTACTATATAATATCAAAAAATGACATTCAGACGGCGCGTAAAAAGCATATCTGTAACAATAGTCGAACCACTAACCAATCTTTGTTTTTTTTTATGATATCAAGTAACGGGATGAACAAGTCATGTTCCTGATGGTAAACGGCACGCCTGTTCATAGCAGTTACAGTGCTACTCAGAGCTTTAAATCGCAAAGATCTGAGGATCACGCCACTGCGCGCGCCCATCACCCTGAGACATAAATTGACAACTCCCATGTGCCTGTGATTTTAAAACAATCTATCTAAAAACGAACAATCACATACATTAATATGTATAACTTACTAAAGTCAAATAAACTTTAACATTACTAAAGTCAAATAAGCAATTAATAACCATAAAACATTTTGCTAAACAGTTGTCCGTATTAGCAAGGAAATATTTACAAAAAAATAAGGTTAAAAAATTTAACAAACGATTCCGGAAATTATGTTATTATCAATAAACATTGTTATTATTACAGATAATTGTACTCGAAGTAAATAATATAATAATGCGCATATTACTGCGTGGCGGCACAAATAGGCATGGTGACAGTATTTCCCTTAACAAACTCTTTCATAAGCTCTACTGCCACTAAATCGTAACCTCGGTATAACAAAACTACATGTGATCATACATTTAAAGTGCTTTCATCACATGAAAGTCATAAAAGTAATAGGAACTGCAGAAAATGTCTTCACAAACTCACAAATTCATTAAAGGGGCGATATATACGCTTCTATAATAAGATTCCGATTCATATTCAAAATTTGCCATTTACGAGGTTTAAAACTATAGTGAAAACTTTATACTAAAGCACACTCCGGACACTCCATACAACTGTCGAAAATTATTTACCTACTACTCAAATGTGCGCGTGAAGTGGCAGA